ATCCACGAATAAATTCATATCAAATCGAATGTAATAAATATTTCGGACATTCACCAAAGCATATCTGTGATTGTCGACATACACCGGTGAGGGTCCGAATGTACAAGAATGTAATGAAATATTCGATCTTTCACCGACGTATTTGGTGTTTGTCGACATTCACCGGTGAAAGTCTACAACCACCGATTTCGGTCTTTCGCCGTGACATATATATATATATAAATGTGTTAAATAAATGTCAATTTTCTAAAATCTATAAATTTGTGTAATTAAATATCAACTTTATTAGTTATAAATTTCAAATTATCCAGTATAATATAATTACCTTGCTCACATCCATTTTCGAGCCAATCCAAGGTAACTGGCAAATACTGCAGTAAGAACGTGCCATAAAAGATCCCTCTATTTACACTTCTAACTCTATTTTCGCTTCTGTTTTAATATTTTTTAATCAGGCAATCTTATTAAAAAAATAATTTTAAATAATTCCTGAAAAATTCAGTCACGTGTAAGTTAATTTGAATTCGCTACTCGCTTTATAGATTTCGTTTTGCGTTTTGTTCTGCATTTTCATTACATTTTCTTTTCTTTTTTTTCTTTTTTGTTGTGTGCTATTTTTTATTTCGTATATATTTTTTACTTAATGTGTTGTATTTTCGTTTCAATTTTATTTAGTGCTCCTCACATTATTGCATTGAAAAAATTTTCTTTGGCTATATTGATTCAGTATTAGAAAGCACTCCTTTTGCACGGATATAATCGTGTGAGCTGATGAAGAAATCTTTTCTTTAATTTGTTTTCCGTCTTTTTAATATATATATATATATATATATTTACATTGATTGCATAATTTTTCATATTTTGGGGGTCATATTACATACTGTGACGCCTTCCTTCCCTCCGTCACGCTTCACATTACCCCGTATCCCTCTCCCCTGTCACATTACATGCTATATAACAGAAACATATACTAACAGTTCAGAAACTAAATTCCTGTAATAGATCATAGTTCAAGTTTTTTTTTTAAAATTTGTACTGTGTGTTTTAGTGACACTGGCGAGCGTCACAACAATAATGGTTGGATGTGTAACGAATCGTCTGCTTACTACTACTATTACTAAGAAGAAAAGGGTTGTTCTTGAAACAAGACTCCATAAACATAACCATATACAAATAATATATCTGTATATTAAAAAGTTGTAAGAGCCGTCGACGTCGCTTGTTTTGGGTGTTCACCTTTAACGTTGCACTTTGTTCTACTGTGTAATAACAGTAAGACTTAGAAATTTGATATTGCTAAAGTGTATAGAAAAGTGTACAGGGATGGGGAAAAATGAACATTCGATAATTAGTTTAAGAATTATTAACTGTTAAATACCATACGGGTCGCTCAAGCAGGCAGCAAGTATGCAATTACAGAATTTAAATTTGGCACTCTAAAAGTGCCATATTTAGATTTTTCCTTTTTTTCCCCTTTTTTTCAAAATTACAATTTTGTCGAAAGTTATTGCAATTTTATGAGTTTTTTACTAATCTTCCTCAATTCTATTTGCTTTAAGTTGCATTTTGCTTTTCTGCTCAATATCTATGACTTTGGAAACTTAAAATTGCGAAAGTGTAATAAAAATGAGCAAGGAATTCGAAGGAATAAAAAAAAATTCTATTCGATTATTCGCTCGAGAATTATTTATTAATAATTAAACTAATAATAATTAATAATAACTAATAATTAATAAATGTTCATCTGTCTGCCTGCTGTCCGCTAAAATGCAGCCGTTGAGTTAAAAAAAAATTTAACGTGCTGATAGGGCAATATTGAATTTTAACTAGATTTTCCCCCCCTCGATATTCCTATTTGTTGCAATTTTAAGAGTGCTTTTTTTTAAATTTTTTTCTTTAAATATTAATTATTTATCCATTGTTAAAGAAAAATTTAACTCTCTCCAGATTTTCATTTTATAAGCACGCGCTTAACTTGATGTCAAAAAAGAGAAGGAAAAAAATGAATGAATAAAAATAAGGGAAAGGTTAGATATTGTCAAATATAAACCCTAACATTTATTCCGAAATTTGTAAAAATATAAAGACAGAAGAGAAAAAAAAACTGTTTCCAATACTGTTATATGATACAAGGTTATCGTTTTATTTATATTTCTTAATATGTAAAATTAATTATTTTTTTACTGCTTATTGTGTTGCATATTCTGTATTCTTAAATTTAATTTTATTTTAAAGTAAATTTGGTTATTTTTCAAATCTAGCTATTATTCCTTTACTTTTAACGTAATAATAAAATGTGCTTACGTAAAATTAAAATGATTATCTATGTTTTAAACGAAATGATCTTTTTTTTATCAACTTTTAGGAAAATCAAGGGAAAATAAAGATTAATATCGATTGAAGCTGATTCTGAAAAAGAAAAAAACGAAGAAACAAAAGGTTAATTTTTTTTTTAAAAAGGTAAAAATATATTTGCAAAAGGTTTAAATATATTTTATATTTCAACATGGCGTGTGAGAACCACATTTTAGCAAGGTATCAATATCGTATTCAATCCATCAATCATTTGTAAATTAATTCAAGAAGAAATCACAGTTTTTTTTTCCTTCTTTTATACGCTATCAACATACATTTATGGAAAATTTGAATTCTTTGTGTATTTACATTGAAATATTATACTAAAAGCCAGCATACTTGTTCT